TGTTGTTGTTGTTGTTGTTCCGCAACACCAAGCTGTTTTACTTGTTTTACTGAGGATTTTCCACGACTTTTGCCAGGTCAACCATTTTTAAGTTAGTCTTGGAAGGCTTTAGAGCAAGAACAAGCGCCTGGAAAGAAGCACCCAAAGCCATCTTCGCCATGGCACCCGGGCACCCACCCACTTTGCCCCGTCCGAACCCGACCCCTCCATGTCCGACATGGGACCCGGGTCAACCGAACAAGAACAGACTGTACCAGGACCCGACTCGACAGGTCACCAATGGTTCGACCTCGTTGACCAGGGTCCTTCCCAACCCTCAACTAACAGCCTGGCCAGGAGGTTGCTGGTAGTGACTACTGTATATACTGGAAAGGGCAATGGCTGGCAAGACTCCCCATGGAAAGTTCCAGGTTTTGGCTCCCACAGCCTGCATGGCTCGCATCTTCCGTCAGCTTCCGAGGTATGGGAAATGCAACTTCTGCCAGATTCCCGAAGGGAAGTTGGTGAAGGGTGCTGGTGCATTAGCCAATCCTGGTGGCAAAGGGGGTTGCCAGGAAGGTGGCAAGTGTTGCTCGGCCAAAGCAGTCAGAGGTGGAGTCAGAGGGATGTCGACACAGCCTCCGGATGCAGAGATCGAAGGACGGTCGCAACGGTCCTCCAGCTGATTCCAAGTGATTCCAAGAACATCGCGTCGCGACATCATCAATGCTATAGAACAGATTCCAAAACGAATACTGTACGAAAGCCTTCTCAGGGCTGATTGTGATTTGTTGCGGGAGGCTGTCGAATTCCATTGGGCCTGGGATTTGGCCACCATCATGGCCTGGAAATGTTCAGAGGCTTAACGGTTTAACCATAAGCCTAAGCCATGCGACCAGTGCCACAGCCTCCCAAAAGGTGCCAGCAGCACCCGAATCAGCCGAAGTAGGGATTCGAAGCTGGTTTGGTAGCCTGCCATGTAATTATTCTGTTTAAGTTCATCCAAGTGTATCCTGGCAGATGAAGCTGGACTTTCCCCACTGGGTTGTAGAGGACAATGCTGTTCCTTTGGGATCTTTCAGGGTCCAACATGCAGAGGGACGATAGTTCACTCACCGAGGCATGTTCAAGTTCTCCAAGTGCACCAAATGCGGCCGCAAGGAGTTCTGAGCGAAAAAAGGAGTTCTGTAGCTCCTCGCGGCCCCGAGCGCTTGGGGAGGGGGGTTTTCGGCTGCAGCCACTGGCGCACACGGAGCAGGGATTGGGAGCCAGTGTCGCCATACTTCTTTAAAACTATGCCTAGACTAGGCCCTCCCTTCCAAGAAAGGAACGGATCCTTCCACCTCCTGGCGTCCAAACAAAACCACAATTACCACCAATATAGACCACGGGCTTGACTCCTCCTTTATCGTCGCTTCGTTCGTCTCGGTCGGTCGTTCATGCGTCGGACCGCAACGCGTCCGTCAGGCGGGCTCTCTGATGCTCCAGAGCGGCGCGCACGTGGGGAACCGCGACTTCGAGGAGGCCAAGCGCTGCGCCAAGGAGAGCGCTCGGCGCGCGCCGAGCGCGCGCTCGGGAAGAGCGCTCGGGAAGGGCGCTTCACGCTTCTGTTCTCTTCGAAGCGGAAGCACTATACGGAGAACATTGGAGGGGACGGAGAGAAGTGGGTGGAGCGCGATGGGAGGCAGCTGAAGTGAACTTACTGAGCTCGTGCCACGAGCACGGAGCCAGGGAGCCGGTGGACATCTTGGGCGGGGAGGGTGAGCAGTCCCATTGGAATTGGGTGCTGAACTTGGAGTCACCTCCACTACCTCTGAGGATGGGTCGACTTAAAACCCACCCAAGTCCAACTAGTTCTGAGGGAACGGATGTCCGAATTCCCCGGCAGAACCGGCCAGAGACGGCGTGGACATGCGTGGACCGGTTTCGACGGATGGACGTCGGACGTGGATGGGAAGGAGTCGCGCGACATGTTCAAGTCGGCTGGAGACTATCAGGCGAGGCACTGCGCCGTGGCGCGTGGCGTCTTCGTCGCGCTCAGTTCGGATCTCCCACGGGTGGGGCAGACTTAATTACCAGGCGTTCGAACAACTCCCTTGCGAAGAAGAAACATACGAGAGGACCATCTTAGACCGGTTTATAGCCATTGGGCCAGGAGGCTCCCAATTTAAGATGCACCGTTTTGACTCATGAACTACTCCACTTGGGAAGGATCGTCCCACCCTTACCTAAAGAGGGTAACGTGAATCATATATAAGCAGGACTCTCAAGGGGATGTTCTTCGAATTGAAGCTACACGCTCACGATCCTCCTGCAGAAGCCAGCCAGCAGACAGTGTGATGCACCGTAGGCTATGTTGAGCCGTTTGAGCCTACGCATAATGCGAGCCCACAACGAGCCCAGAACGAGCGCGAGTCCAGGGTCAGGACTCCATCGAAGACTTCATGGATCACGTTGAGGGCTACGAGAAAGGCCGGAGGTGATAGTATGGCGGGGAGGTCCCTATTTGACGGGTGAGGAGTTTGTGGCTTTGTTGGCGCAAGTATTGCTTCAGGTCAGCTAATTTATTCACGGGTTGATCTGGTGAAACGCTGCAGTTATTTCAGGACATCAGACATGATTCGGACTCTTGACAGTCTACACTCAAGCAACTAACTGGGCCGATGTTCCAAACATGGCAGAACTTCCGGTCAGATGGGCTACGATCCACGCTTTTTTGAGGCATGTTTATAGTATACATGAGTCACTCAGTCAGTCACTCCTTTTGTCTGAGATTTGGAGGTTAAGATGCCAAGCAGGCGAACTTCGGACCCTTTTGGAACGACCTCCAATCAACGGTCAGCGGTCAACGGGCGGGGGCGCTCACAGACCTCATGTGGCCGCGACCGTCGCCGGTGGTGTCACGCATTGCGGTCAACGCGCGCGCCACCGACCGGTCTTGCGTGAAGCCGAGTTCGTCCCGTCAATTGGCAAGAACACCCACTAAAAGCCCATATATGCCGCCCCATTGACCCCCCCGGCACCCCATGGAGCGTCTGGGAAAGTGCCATGCCAGACATCTACGTTGCTCCTCGTCACTGTTGATTGGATCCCCCCTTCCTGGCACCAGCTCCGTCAATTGCTCAGCTTCAGCCCCGGCGGTCACCGTTGGCCCTATACCCTTCACCGCCCTACCCCCGCACCTCTTCTCTCTCTCTCTCGACCGGCGCCGTCGGCAGGTCGACAGAACTTGGACGACTTCCGTGGCTTCTCCATGCGCCGCAGCGACCCCCTGGTCGCCAAGGGCGGCGGCGCCCGCCGCGAGCGAGCGCCCAGGCGCCCCTGGGGCGTGCGCGCGCCGCTGGGGCGAAGGAAGAGTGTGTGGGGTTTGGAACAGAAGCAAGTAGACCGTGGTTTCATCAAGTCACCTTAGTCTTCCTACCAGGACCCTGAGGTCACCAATTGACCTGCAACAGCCTGTTGAGGGTGCTGGTAGGTGAATGATTCACATTCACGTTTCCAAAGCATCAATGTTGATTTGGGTGCAACCACTAAGAATGGGCCGCGAATATGCTCATGATTGAATACATAACTGAGAAATGCCAACACTTGACAGGTCTTTCCTATTGGTTTGCTTTGGATTGTTGTTAGGTGATTCTCCTTCATTTCTGTTGTCATTCTGGTTGTGGTTCTTCTATCTTTTTGGACATCTCTTTGTCTCTTAGATGCTGAAGCGGTTACTCATCCACTGACCTGACTGTCGACCCTGCTTTGCTCCTGGACTTGTGACGGTTCTTTGATGGACCACACTGGCAGTGACAGATCTCCGGTTTACCACCCAGAGGCTCCGTTCACCGTCCCTCAAAACGATTGGTTCGGGCCCAAACACCCTTCCAGAGGATTCAGGTCCGGCCCCGGCACGTCCAGGGTCGCGTCGACGGGCACGTGACCATGATTTACCCTTCTTTTTTTGGGGGGAAGATCTTTTGGTGCCAGGCAGAGCTTACTGCTGGCTCCATCAGTGTGGTGTTTGTTCAACATACAAAGATGAGATGGTGATCGACATTTCAACCACACCCGAAATCAGAACTGAAGGTCCGAAAATCATAGGGATTTGCCGCGTCTGGCGTGATCGAAGCTTTCAAACATGACACCAACTCACGATGGGATTGCTATCTGCCAGCACCAACCACCAGCTTGAATTTCCACAACCTTGGGCTATACCGGTGCTTCTTTGCCGCTTGGGCACGCTTCTCCCCGCTCCCATCCTGGCGACACCGAACACGTGGCGGCGTCGTGCTTCGCCTCGTGAGGAAGCCACGACAGATGTCCAACATTTCGGACATCGAGCTCATCAAGACCGATACCTCGAAGGAGGGCAAGGCGAGTTGGGGCGGTTGGTGCGAGCGAGATGGTGCGAGATCGCGTTGTTGAAGGTGGGGAATGAAGAAGAACGGAGGTGGCACTAGGTGCTTGCTAGGTTGATTGGCTGATAGGTTCGTTGATGGACTATGATGGAGTCATTTCATGTCATGTCAGTTTTCTTTTTTAGTTGTCATGTAATTTTCATTTCATTTCATGTTGATTGGATTTGATGGGTCATTTATTTGTGGTGTGCTCGATGAGACTTCCTTGGTCCTTGGATTTTTTTTTTCCTGATGGGGAGGAGCACAAGCAGAAAGAAGGAACTCCAAATGGCGATGGCTCCCCACGGGTGGTCGCAAGGTCCAGGGACCGCCCAATCGGTGAGGTTTCCATGGAATTCGGACGGAAACACCTATATGGGATTTGCAAATTGTTGAGGTTTTTTGTGGCCTTCACTTTCAGGTGATGCCTGGCACATGTAGATGTGTCTCTTTGGTCACCTGGCTGGGTTGAACCCAGCCCACTAGAGATAATTTCCTATCAGAACCCTTGGGCTCTCCATGGCAGGGGTCGGCCCGACACCGAAAACGCAGGGGTCCAGACCAGACCCGAAACAAACCCTATTATGTAGTGGAGGGTCCGGATTCTTTCTGATGGTCTTTCTGATTGATCTTTGCGGGACCTAAGGGATGCCACCTCCCTTCACCTCTTTCGGGTTGATGCCGGTTGAGGTCACCTTGGCCTTTTTCGATGGCTTTGAAAGTCGATCGGCAGGCGCTGGGGAGGGCTGGGGATAGGCATCGCAAGCGTCTAGAGAGTCGATAAACTCATTTGTAAGCCTATACCAGGACCCTCCAACAGGTCACCAATTGAGGCCTGTTAGGGTCCAACAACCCTCAACTAACAGCCTGGCCAGGAGGGTGCTGGTAGGACCTTTGTAGAAACCCTGGCGCTCCAACCACCTCGCTTGGATCGGCGGCCGCTTGCGCAAGGGATCCGAATTCAGTGACTACCCCAAGGGGGGGCCTTCAACCAGGACCCACAAATTGGGTGGTTTATCGACACTCCTGAAACGGTTAGAAGGGGCTATTCATTGACACCCCAAACAGTGGGCGCTGGAATAAGTTTTGAGGTTCCGGACCTCTGCGAACTGGAAGATGTTCTAGGATTCCCAGGATTCCTAGCTAGGGCAGAGCCATGATTTGGAGGATGTTTTCGGACAGCGCGGATTGGCAGTTTTCAACAGCTTAGGCCAGCTTGGGTACAGATCATTGGACAGGGAGAAGAGGGGGAACTGAAGCCAAAGTTCCAAGACCAGCGGGGGATTTTGTTTGATCGACGCTCCAGTAACAGCATATAACAGCTATCTTTTGAGAAGATCGACTTCAACTGCAACTTCAGTAGCTCTAGGACAGTCTGGTGTGCTTCCGGAACGCAGCGGAACAGACATCGGTGGCTTTGAGGTTCCGAGGAAAGAACACCACGATGTGTCCTGTCGCACGATGGTCGTCGAAGCAGCTCGACCATCGGTCAGGAGGTACGGTCAGGAGGTTTCCAACAACCACCGGCCGCTGGAGCCTTTAGAATTTCTTGAAGAGTGAGTATACGGAGTCATGCGGAGTGAGTCAACTAAGTCAACTACTTTAAACTTTAAGCACGGTCATGTAGACTCTTGATTAAGAAAAAATCCATTTGGATTATGAAAAAGAGCTACACCGTGTGTCCATTGAAACCCAAATGGACTCTAAGTTTATTGCACACCGTGACGTCGCTGGAGTTTTGGATCGACCGCAGAATGCAGACGCCGAGAGAAGGATGCAGAATGCAAACCTTCTACTTCGAATCCTCCAACTCGAAACTTCTATCTCTCTTGATCAGACATCATCCAGGGGGTGCGGGTTCAGAACACTTGCCCTTTATAACGCACCGTCACAAAAAGGGCCGGCGCTAGCTCTAAATTCTAACATGTATCCCCCAACAATCTCTCCAAAACACACCTTTCAATGGGTTAGATCCACAATCCATCTACTACAAATCCCGAAAAAAACACCTCGTTCCTCTCGCTTTTCGACTCCACCTCCGTGTCCTCCTCGCCCTTCCGCGCGCCAGGGGGTGGCTCGCGGCCCGCGCCCAAGGCGGCGGACGGCGGCCCCGGCGGAGCCCGGGAGCTGGGCGTGCCCGAGAAGGAGAGACGGTCCGAGACGCGGGGCTCGGTCGGATGGGTGGGGAGGTAGGTGGTGCCAGGGGAGGATTGGACCTTCCAAGTTTTGTGACGCAAGTGAGGCTTTTGCCTTCTGGAGATGGGGGGGTCGAAGAGCACCGAAACCTGAAAAGATGGGCCAGGAGCCCTTCAGGATAGTGACCCAAGTTAGGTTCTGCCTCTTTTGCATGCAGATGGGTACACTATATAGAGCCAACGTTGGGCAGACGATTCGGACGCTCCAGGCGGTGACGAGTTCCGCGTCTGGCCTCGTCGGTGCCTTGAGGAGCAGGTGCTCTACAGCGTCCGCTGGGTCCAGGCCTCTGCCGGAAAGGCGCAGGCTGCGGCCAAGAAGACCACCCGGCGAGAATTCACCAAGGCGAGCGGAGCTGGGGGCAGCTGGGGAAGAGTGGGGATCTATACACCACCCACGGCGCGTTCGGCTTCGGCGAGCTGACCCGTGACCCGACCACAGGTGAACCTGGAACACCGGACTTGTCACCAGGAAACACCTGTTTGGAGGGTGCTGGTGGATGTATAGGGCATTAGGGCATAGGGCACAGGATGATTTTGGTGACAATGATGATGGAAAGCAACTGGGTCGCTTTGGTGTTGGGTTTGATGTGCCCCAAGAATCACGGACCCTCAGTTCGGTGGAGGTTTGGTTCGGGTCCAAACCCTACGTTCTGCAGGGTCAACATGTCAAAACCCTCCATAGGAGTGTCGAATGATGCTGAGGGCGGTCGCACTTTGGGGCGGTCGAGGCTTTCTTGTGTGTCTCTGGGCCCGGGACAACGCAAGAGCACTTATATAGAGACCATCACCTGGTGATGCAGATGACACGTGCTTTTACTTAGGGGTGGGGGGTCAGGTTCAGCTGCATCCTGGAAGATGTTCGGTGGAACTCCAGTCTTGTCCCAACTCCCAAAACCACCGGGCCACACCCCCGAACCCACCCGGCCGTCCCGAAACCCACCCCGGTGGCGCAACACACGTCGTTCGGGGGCCCACCGCAGGATGAAGACAAGCGACTCGTCAGCACCGGACAGCTGGGAGCTCCTAAGGACCGCGGTCAGAGCCCGGACGTCGCCCAACTCGGTCCATCCGACTCGGTCGGTGGGGCGACTCGGTGGGGGACTCGCTTTCTGGGAATTTCCATGTTTTTGGTCTAAAGAGAGGGATCTTCCGGAGCACCCTCTCTCCAACCATCATGAAGTGGACAAAGGCCCTTGAAAAGACCATATGAATCAAATTGAAATGCTGTACATACCAGGACCCTCCGACAGGTTACCAATCGTTCGACCTGAGACAGGGTCCAACAACCCTCAACTAACAGCCTGTTGGAGGGTGCTGGTACAGGGGGTCGTCCATTTCAGAGGCTCATTGTTCCAGAAGTGCTTCGCGAAGGCTGCGCCTCACGCAGATCTAAAAGCACGGTCAAGACCTTTCCAGCTCGCTCACTGACCACAAAGACCGGACGCTGGTGGATAGGATTTCCCCGGACAGTGGAAGGAACACAAGCCGTGAAGGAATGTTAAGGACAACACATTGGACAACGTGAAGGACCCCAAGCCGTTCACACAGCCATCCTCGGAGGCATCGCATTGTTTCTAGTGCAGATGATTCAAGTGCATTTCAGTCTTTTTTTCTCCTTTAGCATCCTTTAGCCAAAACCTTCCCCCACATCTAGAGCCCCAGCCGGGTGGTTTGGAGCTGTTTCTCCTGGCCGAAGAAGTCTTGTGGTCTCCGTCAATGAAGTCAGACTCTCAACAGTGCCGGTCCAACCACCAGAACCCTAAGGCCCTAGTAGCCTTCCGAGAAGGCCATTCCATCAGTTCGGGACAGACCTGGTGTTGTATACGTCTAAA